TTGAAGAACATTTTGTTGAAAAGGCATCATTCTTCTCTGTGTAGGCAACGCACTTGAACGTGCCGCACCGCCAGCCAGTGCACTTGATGCCGTTGGTGCTGCTCTGCGATGCTGTGATAATAGTCTACCTTCCCCATTGCCTCGAATCACGCTGCCCAGGTGAAGAATGTTGCCCAGCCACCCTGAGCCGATATTGTTAGCTAATGTTGATGCAATCAGCTGCTATCGCCAACTGTTGCCTGCTGCCGTCTGCCGCCTGCTGCTGGTGCTCTATTGAAAGACTAGGACAACAAAAGTAGCCTCCGCATTGCTTTCGCCTAGGACGAGCACGCAGGAGGATATACATACTCTGCGTATATAGGCAAGCCTAGCACATCGGGACACTACGGAAATGGTACCGTGAAATGGTTTGACTCGATACTCGTCCGGATCTGGGACACACAGAAGCTAAACCATGACCTGTCCGCGGCTGGCGAATTCCCTCGGGCACGCCGCCCGCTATCTTGGCCATTGACTCCCAAGTCCAGGTCGCTGCAGTACCTTCATTGCTTGGTTATATCCTGCAGACGACAGCGTGTTCCAGCCACTGCTGCTGAAGGCCAAAAGGGGCCGCCTAAAGGGGCCGCCAAAAGGGCTCGCAAACGGTCAGGTAGCGGAGAATTGGCTTGCGAGGCTTTTTCCCGCAAATATCGCCACCGAGATCTGCTCAAGTGCTGTACCTGCCCGTCTGACTGACTCTCGATCGGATTGTCCGCCATTTCTCGATAGCATACTGGCATGGGTGGTGCCAACGAGACAGATATCGATACTAGACACGAGCACGCGACGGCCTTCCGCATCCAAAAGCACATGAAGAACATTCAGGAGAGCAGAGAGGCCCCAAGGCAGATAAATCCATACTGTAATGTACACAGTAGCAGCCATAGCCGGGGCGTTTCAGAGCGAGGTCGGGTGCTGACGGTGCTGCTAATCAAGCGGGTTTGCCGCCAGTGTATCGCCCCGGCAACGCGCATAAGTACCACGGCCAGCCGTCGTGGGCGCGGAGTGACCTTCGCAAGCCGCGGCACTGACCATTGCCCACGGGCTGGTTGGCGGTCGAGCGCCCCTTTCCCCCAGCGCTGACTAGGGCCTGAGGCCCGGAAAGAGGGTCCTCTAGGCCTGCTCCGGGGCAGGTTGGGGCCAGTTTGGGGCAGCGTGGGAGGGCCTGAATGGCGGGCAGCCGTCGGGAAAAACCGCTAGACTGGGCAAGACCCGCTTTTCTTCCCTGGCTGCGAGTGTTTGGGCTGCAGGCTGCAGGCTGCTGCTCTGGGGCGCTACAGGCTCGCACAGCTCCAACGGCACCACACAGTAGCAGGGTGGCAGGGGCCTGCTGCCAAATTTTTCTCGCCCGTCCCTCGGGGCTCCATCCGCGTAGCCTTTTTTCCCTCACCCTCAAAACTCCCTTCCCGCCAGTTTGCGGAACTTGAACCTTCTTTCCTTTCCTTTCCCTTCTTCATCTCCACTCCATCATCAAAGACCTTTTGTATCTTTGATCCAGTCCGACATTCACAATGTCTCCCAACGACCAGGTCAAGGTCCTGGGCATGCCGGTGAGTTTATTTTGCCTGTTTCTTGCTCTACATCGCCGCTGCTCTGCCGTGTTGGACGCGCAGCAAGCTTGCGGCCTTTTGCGGCTTGCGAAGCTGCTACAGTTTCTCGTGACAGCACGAGCCTTCGACTTCAATGCTTGGTCCAGTCTATCAATCGGAGCACGAGAGTTGTTTTCAAACATTCTTTGCTCTTATCGAGCAAACTGCGCACAAGCCTGTGAAGTTGGAGGCTGCACTGCTAGCTCAGCTTGCCGCTTATCGCCGCACGCGAGAAAATTTTGCCAGCTGGCGATGTGAACAGCACATCACAAGCCAATCCATCACAGACACCAAATGCTGACTATTTCTCTTCCTATAGCCCTTCGTGGCGGACTTCTTGAGTACGTAATCTCGAGCTTGATCACAAATTCTGCCCTCGCAACCCGTTGCATCCATACCTTCAGCAGCCATCGACCTCGAGTCGACAGCTCGGGTGTAAACAGTGGCTTTGCCGAGCTTGTCACTGCGCATCTCTTGTGTTGTCAGCACCTCGACACAACACGCGGGCACTGACATAACGATATTGATATCTAAGAGCATGGTAGAGACGATTAGCTGACCAATTTTGACAGTGGGTGGTGTCTCCGCCGCCGTCTCGAAGACCGCTGCTGCTCCCATTGAGCGTATCAAGCTTCTCATCCAGAACCAGGTATGTTCCATCTATCGTGCATCACCATCCAAAATCCCATCTGTGTCATCACTGCTTGTGTCGCTCTTGGTTTCATTCAAGCTCTTTTTGGAAATAGAAGGCTTTGAGTGAATCTTTGCGGCAAGACACTGTTCGACTCGACCTATTCGGAAGCAAGTTTACTGATATGTCTCTTTACGTATTGTAGGATGAGATGCTGAAGGTCGGTCGTCTCGACCGCAAGTACAACGGTATCGCCGACTGTTTCCGTCGTACCGCCGCCGATGAGGGTGTTATGTCTCTGTGGCGTGGCAACACTGCCAACGTCATCCGTTACTTCCCTACCCAGGCCCTGAACTTTGCCTTCCGTGACAAGTTCAAGAAGATGTTCAACTTCAAGAAGGAGAAGGACGGTTACGCCAAGTGGATGGCTGGTAACCTGGCCTCCGGTGGTGTACGTATATTCCCACAAGCTCCTCGTCTCATCTATCTTTATGCATACTGACTGTCAATTCAGGCTGCTGGTGCCACTTCGCTGCTGTTCGTCTACTCTCTGGACTACGCCCGTACCCGTCTGGCCAACGACGCCAAGTCGGCCAAGGGCGGCGGTGCCCGTCAGTTCAACGGACTCGTCGACGTCTACCGCAAGACCCTCGCCTCTGACGGTATTGCCGGTCTGTACCGTGGTTTCGGACCCTCCGTTCTCGGAATTGTCGTCTACCGTGGTCTGTACTTCGGTCTCTACGACTCCATCAAGCCCGTTGTTCTCGTTGGTCCCCTCGCCGGAAACTTCCTTGCCTCTTTCGCTCTCGGTTGGTGCGTCACCACCGCTGCCGGTATCGCCTCTTACCCTCTTGACACCGTCCGTCGGCGTATGATGATGACCTCTGGTGAGGCCGTCAAGTACAACGGCTCCCTGGACGCTTTCCGCCAGATTGTTGCCAAGGAGGGTGTTAAGTCTCTGTTCAAGGGTGCCGGTGCCAACATTCTCCGTGGTGTCGCCGGTGCTGGTGTCTTGTCCATCTACGACCAGCTCCAGCTCCTCCTCTTCGGAAAGGCCTTCAAGGGCGGTTCCGGTTAAGCGCCTTATCCCTCTCCAAACACTGTAGCAACAAAGCATCAGTGATGTAGACGGGCTTCCCGAGGCTATGGATCAGGGGATGTTGTCACAGCTGGTGACAAGAGTCGTTTCGTCGCCGGAGTCAAAAAGATTGCCTGGACTGGGTCGATCAACCTGAACGAAAGGAGCGAGATGATAGAAGTTGGGTGGACGCGGGGCTGCGTGCCTCTGGCCAGTCGCCCCCACAAAATAAAAAGCGATTGGTACTTGGTCACGTAGTCACTGGTTGCGGTTTGGGTTTCTGAGCATGCCTGGCGTTTTAGTGAACATTCGTCTGGGTGGCTTTTAGACCCTCCGTTGTAATTTACAAGACGTTTTCTCATCATTTGTTCCCTCTTTGCTGTGTTTGTTCTACTTGCTCATCCACGTATCCTTGGTGGTGTACACGGTGCTGATGCTTGGTGGGGGTTTTCTATTCTCTCCTTATACTCGGCAATAGATTCCTTAGTAACAACTTAGCATTGTCTTTGCAAATTTGACGCAATGTGTAGATGCTGTAGCATGCCTTCTTTGTCGGAGTTGGTCATGCATGCTGTTCTTCAACAAGTTTGCTCTATGTTATGCTACATGTACTGCTCTTTCATCCGTCGTCGACGGATGTTCAACTCACTGTCGATCCAGAGGTACATTGTGTCCGTCCTCGCTATTCTTCGTCCTTCTGCCTTGAAGAGTCAGTTGACTTGTGTGATCTTGCGACATAATATTACCATCTTGTAATATTATTCTTGTAGACAGCTCTCGACGCTCATACTTCGGTCAGATGTTTGTGTATAGAAGATCTCAGATAGTATCCTTGCAGACAAGTTTGACAGCCAGGTATTTGTACAATTACGGAACACCGAGCATTATACACATCCACACCTTTGTCCTCGATCTTCAGGAATTATTCAACACAGAATGGTGATATGATTCCTCCATAGACAAACTCATTTGAACTAGTCCAATTGAACAAATCAGCCATAACCGTAAAGACTACAATTTTTATACATAATTATAAATGTCAAGCAAATAGTGAACCTGGAGGAAATATTGAACGTCTCAATAACGATGAACGATGAATCTCGAGTCGTTCAAACCCTATAGGCAGGCACGCCAATTGCTCAGATTAGAAGAATATGGAAGCGACTCAAACGAGTTGACAGTGTGATAATGTGCTTACATATGTTCAATACCGGCCATCAGAAGTTAATCTCATGCAGTGCTGGAAAACACATTGCTGTGTGACAATCCTAATGCGAACAAGTCTTGTAAGAGAAACTTTGCATTGACATAGTGACTAGAAAGATAGTAGCCATGGCAAGAATTAAATCAGCCAACTTTGACAATTGAGTCCGCATGATCATAAGGTCAAAGCACGATCCTAACCTCACTCTGTTTTGCTTCGGTCTGGTTAAAAGTGTCCTCATTCTACCTCGCTAGCAGCCGCACCAGCAATGCACTGCACATCATTCCAACATGTAAATCAAACCCTGCTACTACCAAGTAGTCTGGTTTCAATGGTATAGTCTTTACATCACATAGTATTATGCTTGAGAGGTTGTATAGCGGTCAATAGGAAACATCAGTGAACCGTTGTGACAAAAGATATATAAATATAATTTGTCGTATCCCTTCAACAACAAGCGTCTACATAGTATAGCGGTTAGTATATCACGTTGTGGCGCTATAAATTGCTTAGCTCTGTGAAGATCCATGTTCGATTCATGGTGTAGACACATATTTTTGCTTTTTCTATGTTTGGTGCAGATGAGTGTCGGTGCCGCTACGGGTGGCAATTGGTATTGTCATACTTTTGGTGGACCTGCAACTGACTCGATATTTCTGGCTGCGCAGCTGGGCCAGGTGGGTTAGGGCTGCAACAGGCTTGTTAGCGGGTCAACGTGATTGACCTTTGTGTAAGTGGGTTGAAAAATGCTTGACCCTGTCCGAGTCTTTGTTCTGTGCATTTTTTGCATTCATTGTTGACCGCACTCGGTATACGGACGGTCTACCATGAAGACGACATGCTTTGAATTGAAGAGTCTGTGAACGTATCCAGCTCAAGGGTGTTATCTGCTGGTTTGGGAAGACGGGTAGTAGTTTTTCTATATTCGTATTTCTAGTTCACGTGCAAAGACCTCTCACTAAAATACATAGAAATACATGGTGTTTTGTACCCTCCGCCACAGTACAAATACAATTTAAAATACAAATCGACGATTAAAAGTGTTACACATCGAGACCGCTTGGCCCCGTATAAATCGCTTCTTTCGAACTGCTCGAGGCAGCATCATCACGAAGCCTTGTACTTATTATATCGTCATCCAAGTGCGCATCACACGCCGAGTCATAGTTCGGACCCAACTGTCGACTGCTGCCCTGATGTATCGAGGGCAACTTGAATCCAAGTTCACCACAATGCGTAGCTACGTGCGTCGGTGAGTCGTGCCTCTTGTTTCGAGAAAACAGTGGTCGGACGGGTGGGACACAGGCGGCAATGACGACGACGTTTTGCTCGACGCTGTAATGGTGAATTAGTTTGGACAGGTAGAAGCAACGGAGAAATTGTCACTTACAGTCCCCAGACCACTAGTGGTATGACATTCCACACTGTAAGCCGCAAAGAATTAGTAAACCACAAATCTTTGAGGACAAAGGCTGGCAGTCGATACGAACAAGGATCATCGCGATCGGTAAACAGGTACAGATACGTCGCCTTGACAATCGTGATGATTGCCGAAAGCAGCGTCAAGCCCATCATGAGCGACAGCTTGAACTTGGTCGAGGCCTGCATCTGGAGGTTCCAGAATGCTGCAATGGGCAGCCCGGCCAGCGCGACATCTGTCATGGCCGTGTATGCCGTCAAAAAGTAGGTGATGTTGTTGAGGATGGCCCAGTGCCAGCAACGGCCGGGCAAGGCTGGATTCCACAGTTTCCCGGTGGGCGAGCACTGCGCAAAGATGATAATGCACGGGATGATGGCGAAGATGACTTGAAACGTGGCCAGGCCCCAGAGAAGCCGCTTGCGCCAGAGTTGAGGATCCAGCAACCGGTGGACGAGGATCGCAATGGCGACATTGGGAAGGGTAAAGGCAACTGTATACAAAGGGGTTAATATGTTGATATGGCGGCTAGTCGAACTGAGGGAGAGGCAAGCACTGCCAACTTGGTCACTGACGGATATTAAAAGCTGGGTTTTCAAAATAAAGACAATTGTTAGCGTGCCATGATTCTATGAATTGGGTAGAAGCATTCGCATCTGGCAAGCTGCCACTGGGAGCGCGCTCAAAACACTTACGATAGCCTATCATCTGGATCCTGGCCGCTTTCACCACCCTTTGCTGCCCTCCTGGCTCTGCCAACACTTGGTCTGTATGTCTTCCAAGTCCGAGAGGAACGGATATTGAAACGAGGATGGCAGCACCGATGCCTGCGGCCTGTTGGTGTGGCGAGCACGATGTAGTCAGTAACCGAGTCCGCCTATATGTACTGTTCTGCCAGCTGACGAGGTTCGTGCAGATGGTCGTACCATGGACAAAAGAACAACATAGTCATCCCACGCAAGATTTCTCGACACTCTGATCTTGGTGTAGAAACGAAGAGCAACGATGACGACAGCGATTCCGGTAAATGTCCAGGCAATGGCCAGTACAAACGCGCCTCGTGATTCCTCCATCTTGACCACGCCCACTACCAGACTTGGCCTCGGTGTGAGAAGACGGGCACATATGCCGAGTCGACCGTTTTCAGAATGTCTCGAGAAGAATGCTTAAAGACATCAGGACAAGGGGCGCAGAAGATATCAAAAGTGATTCAAATTTGTCGCTGTCAAAACAATATATAGCAAGAGAACAATCCCATGTTCGCCATCCTACCCAAGAAGCGCCTGGCCTGAAACTCTAAAACACCAGTCGGCGATCTAATCGACTATGGTATAGTGAAGAATCGCGAGGCAAAACTTTAAACTTTGAAGCCAGCAAGCCAAGCCAGCAGTGGCACAAAAGGTACGTGCGGCTCAGGAATCGGCCATCGGAGCCCAGTCGATGTGAATACTCGAGTACAGATTCGCCCTTGAGCTGAGCAGCCGTTTGGCCGCAGCCCGCTGTAAGCCGCCCAAGCCTCTCCTCTCAGGACACATTCAACGAGCGCTTCGGCCCAAGAAAGACCCCGAGAGCGATTCAGAACGCACAGAGACTCTCCTTGTTTAGCGTGCCGGCGCTCTCCCTCTCGCGGGCGCTCTCTCTGGCAACAGACCCGTTCCTGAGCCCACGAGGTATAGTAGTCTGTACGCCAAGGCTGGGATGCAGTCTATGTGCCGCGGGCCTTTGCGTTCCGGCCGGGCGCTCTCCATTCGTGCCTCGCGCGCACGGTATTGCAAAACAGCATAAACCTGGTATCTGAATGCCATGGACTACGGAGCAGATTGGACGAACTACCCACAAGCAGCTACTCATTGCGTCAGCAAGCAGCACCAAATCCAGACGATACACGATAGAGATTGCAACGGCAATGCAAGATGGCAAGTCTAGTCTGTCTGCATGGGGTTTGGTTGGCCTCGGACCAAAGCCTTTTGGACTTGCGCACAGTGTTGCTCGTACACAGTTGGTCCCTTTGCAAATCACCATTGCAGTAGCCTTCGAGAGCAATGTTCGACAAGAAAGACTGACTCGTGGTTGTAGGAGTGGGCAAAGCCAATGCTCTTGTAATATACAGATTGGCGACTAGTGGAATCAACAGGCCGAGGCAGAAGAGACCTCGGTTTATTACAAGGGAATTTGGTACCTGAACAATGACTCGACGAGGACATGTACAATTCCGGTTTGCTAAAGACCAATCTGTCTAGAGCCTAGCAAATATCAATGATGGTGCATTCTCGCCAAATTGTGCAAGTATACGAGACACAAACTACACCAATGCCGGAACTGGAGCCGGGTACAGGAACCGAAGGAGGTCCTCCATCTCATCGGTTTAGTGTCTCTTTGATTCGACCACTTGGACTGGAACCTAAGTTCGTATAAGCACTGTCTGGACATCGCTACATATATTTTCAAATCTCACTCTGCTTATCCGAGGCTCAAAGTCTTTGGTTATGTAGTAATCAGCGAGCGGAGAACACACTTGACCGGCTCTTGGAAGTCTGATGGTAGTGAACTGCTACAAAGTAGCGTTAATCCCAACCCGGATAGATCGAAATATAGATGGGTAGAGAGGAGAAGACAAAGACGATATGTATGATAGCAAAACAATACATTGCAAAAGAGCAACACAGAAGAAGTCAGTCCTCAAAAAGGGCTTTGCTGCACTCAACTGGCAGAGACAGGTGTGCGTCGAAGCGGCAGCCAGCCAACATGGCCGCGCCTTTGCAAGACTTTACAAACCCCGAAAAGAACACAAAAAGGAAAAGAAAAGAAAAAGAAGCACCAAGAAAGTCAAACAACGATACCCGAAAACTGCATACAAGCACCAGCATTGACACCGTAGCCGCCAAGAACAGACGGCTTGACAGTGACGCCGACATTGCAGTCGGCGTACGCGACGACAACATTCCATCCCCACTGGGTGAACTGCTGGCCGGCCATGATAGATTGGTGAAGCTCGCTGCCGCTGGTGCTGAAGAGACAGCAGTCGGAGTTGATGCTGCTGGCAGCAGTGCTGACCTGGGCGCCTGTGACGGTGATGGCGGCCGCGTTGTCCTAGAATTTTGGGGGAAACAAAAGGGCCGTTAGCAATGAACCTTGGCATTCGTGCTTTGACGAGACAAAAGGGGATCAACTTACATTGCACACATAGACACCACTCGTGTCCCAGCACTGCACACGATTGCACCCATGTGCAGCAACGGTGTACTCGCGCGTCTCGAGATGGCCTTGGCCTAGAGCGGTGACGAGTGAAACTGCCATGCTGCCGTCCGCATTCGCAAAGTTGCCGCAGTACTGCATGCCCTGGACTGCAGTCGTCGAGCGGGTGTCGATGGCCAGAGAGACAGCCTCTGGCTCGGCAGCCTGGCTCGGCTGGGGCTGGGTTGAGCCGCCCACGAGTACGGTACCAGTGCAAGTCGCTTGGAAGAGGAGGGCAGACAGTGCCCCTGCCTGCGGCGCTAGTTTGTTGAGGCTTTTCATTGTTGTCTTGTGAAATGTGGCCAATATACGTTGAAGGAAAGCTCGATATTGCCTTCGTTCTGGTTCGTGGTCCTGTGGTAAACGGATGATACTTTTTGGACAATACGAGAGAAGGTCAAGCACAATCACAAGAGAGTAGACGGTAGTTAGCATCCTGCTATATAAACACAAACGTTCATAGACACGGCTGCTGGCACGGGCAAGTCGGTTGATATGGTGGTGTTCTATTTCGAGGTCAATGTCAACGGCTCAAAGGCGCGGCTCGGCTGGAACAAGGTGAAGTCCTTGAAAGATGAGTTTGCTAGGTTGTGCAACCCATCGGGAATCGCGCTGCTTGATTTTCTGATGGCCTCTATGGAGCCTCGTTTAGTGATTGGGGCCGTTCAGCTGCATCCGTACTTGGGAGCCCCAGATGACCACCGATGACCACCGATGACCACCGATGACCACCGATGACCTAGTGAGAGGCATCAGATGCTCCGCTGCCTGTTGCCAGGGCCGTCAAATGCTCCGTCCCAGGGCATGGCCAAGGCAAACTCAGCAGACACACAGCAAGAACCGAGCAGTGAGTAGCAGGCGATGGTGATTCGTCGAGGCCTGCCCATCAAAGAGAAGGT